ATTAGAAGGCCTAATAGCACAAAACGTCCCTACGTTTAGCCTATAGTGTGCAAAATGTCTCTACGTTTTAAATTGATGAAAATGACGTTTTTCGCAATGAAACGTGAAAATAGGGATGAAAATGCAAAAAAAAAAAACATTTGGACGTTTTTCGTAAGAAGTGTCAAACATAGAGACGTTTTCCATAAAAAAATATCAAATGTAGGGACGTTTTGTGCTATTAGACCTTATTAAAATTGAAACTATTATCAAACTGTCGAACCTTTATACCAATTCCAAAATACCATCATCCAAACTCCAATGGCACCACCTGTTCTGAAGAGATCCATGTCATTTTTCAACACACCAATCGACTATACTCACTAGGACGCTTCTCTTCACGATCTCAAAACATCAACAAATGATTTAACGATATGGAAGTTCGACGGTCTAGGTGATGGTTGGTCGGAGTTGTTTTCATTTTTAAGGTGACAGTCCCATTTGGAAAAGAAGAGACCATGAAGAGAAGCATCCTGGTGAGTATAGTCGACTGGTGTGTTGGAAATGACATGGATCTCTCCGGAATAGGTGGTGCCGCCGGAGTTTGGGTGATGGTATTTTGGAAATGGTATGAAAGTTCATCGGTTTGGTAATAGTTTTAATTTTAATAAGGCATAATAGCACAAAACATCCCTACGTTTGACACTTCTTGCAAAAAACGTCCCTACCTTTGACACTTCTTGCAGATAACGTCCATACGTTTCAATTTTTTTTTTTGCATTTTGATCCATGTTTTTACGTTTTATTGTGGAGAACGTCATTTTCATCAATTTGAAACGTATGGACTTTTTGTACACTACAGGCCAAACGTACAGATGTTTTGTGCTATTAGGCCTTTTAATAATTATTTGGACTCATTTGCACTTTTTAAAACATTTATAAGTAAGATTGCAATTTATTATTTATTTTTCTTTTCTTTTCTTTTTTGTTTTATTTAAATAGTAGGGTATTTTGGTCATTTAACATCCAAAAATGGTGAAAAGGACGTTTTTAGCAATGAAACGTTGAAATAAGGACGAAAATGTAAAAAGATAAAACGTAGGGATATTTTCCGCAAAAGTGTCAAATGTATGGACGTTTTGTGCTATTAATCCATTAAAATTTTCGTAGTTTATACAATTTTTTTCTCTTTTCAATTAAAATCATGCCTGATTATAAAATTTTATTAATTAACATAAAAAATGCAGTACAAACGTTGAAAAAAAATTTGCTTCATCTGTAATGAGTACAATGAAGAGAAAAAAAATACATCTAGAACTCATGCAATCACGCATATTAGATTTGTTCATCATCACATGGCGAGTGAGATATTGGTCTCTTCGTCATCGGCTTAAAATCATTAGTCAATGTAGACTTTTACAATTTGTTAGCCCAAGCTTCTCGAAAGAGATTAATATCATCTTATCTCCATGTGTAGTCCAAAAATATTATTTCGTAGTTTCTAACCTTCCTACTAAAATCATGGATCGAAATAGATGTTGTGAGTGCTTGTGTGGTGAGATGATTCACTGAGGAGGAAGAAAAGGTTGCACGCTAATATTGGACTAGTATGTTGTTAATAGTGCTCGATTGACTCGACTCTAAAAAGTGGGTTCATCGGTTCGTTGCTACATTCACATTGTAGTTCCTTATGTCGATATAGTATAATCGCCTTTAATTTTGTCCTAAACATGTTTGGAGCACCTAGAAGACTAATCACAAGTGTCACTATTGTATCACGAAAGTTTGGTCTCACTTCAACTCGGCGACTCTTGTAATTGTAGACAAAACCCTGTTTACTACAAACCTAGTGCAAAACAAACCTTTCCCCATATTTTGCAAAACAGACCCCTATATTCTCACAATTCTTCATTTCGGATCACTGCAATTTCTGAATTACGAGCATATGCCATTGACGTTCCCGGAGTTTGCAATTCAGACTGTGAACTTTTTGTTCAGTGCCTATTTCGTGCAAATCGATCCTTAATCTTCCTAAATTGTTCAAAATAGTCCCTAAATTTCCAGATCATTGTGAATCTGCCACTAAAATTCTGCTTGCTGCCGATTGGTCCTTGAAATCTCTGTTTTGTTCAAAACATTACCTGAGTTTGAACCACAGCAATTTCTGTTTGCTGTAATTCTGTCCCGAAGTTGAGCATATTTGTACATTTCAATCCTTGAGCTAAGTCACGGCCCAATGGAGCGTGTCCACCCTCCAATTTTTACGAGTCCAAAGGATTGGGTTCACGACCCAAACTTTCCTCAAGATTTTACCCTAAGTCCAAGATTTTGTGGCCAAATTTCCTTTTTATTTTTTTTGGGAAATTTAGAAAAGTGATAAAATTTGATGTACATAAATTACTGATGCTTGGTGAAGGTTTTATATTGGGTCTTTGAGCATAAGGGTTCAAGTCCCTACACAGTTATTTTCAGAGGTGGGCAAAAAAATTGAAAAATTGACCAATCCTCGATTTGGGTTGGTTCGAACTAAAAAATAAATTTGATTCGATTAATTTTAATCATTAAAAAGTCCAATCGAGTTGGTTGCAATTTAAACGACCAATCTGTCAATTAACCATCCCAACCTAGCTAATACCCTTTTTTCATTTTATTTTAAAATTCATAATAATAATAATAACAACAACAACCAACAACAACAATATAAATATATAATGAGTTATGCCACTTTGACAAAAAGTGATTGACAGATAGAGTGACATAATGAGTGTTGATTAGATGTGATTGAATAAAAAAAATTTCATTGTTTAAATAGTTCAATGATAATGTACTATATGACATCATGTCAACCATTATATCAAGAATTATGTCACTATAGCATGATTCATATATAATTCTTTCTCAAATAGTTTATTTATCATTTACGCTTTCTCTACCAAAGCTCAAAATTTTAAACATAAAGTAAATAAGGGTCAACATAAACTCTACATTTAAATTGTAACCTTGCTTTTTCATTTTGATGTAATTATTTGTCGATAACTATAGGATATATTAGATGATCTTGGGAAAAATCGATCATTTACCATTTAAATATATTATTAATATGTACTATGCAAGGAAAAAAAAAAGAAAGAAAAAGAAGAAGAGAAAGAAAAAAATTATATATATGGGCAAACAAATTTTTTAACATAAGATAAGTAGGCAAATTTTTTTAACTCAAACAAATGTTCAAACCGACTAATCAAACCAAACTAATCCAAATCGATTTAGTTTAGTTTGGTTCGGTTTCAACAATTAAGCTCTTGTTTGAGCCCCATTTTTCATCAAAATATATTTTTTAACAGTGATTTGGCATCATTTTAACCACACATTATTCAATAAAATAATATTATACGCAAACCAAAAACTTTTACTTATTTTTTAACCACACATTTCCCATCAATACACTATTCAAAAATTCATTTTCTCCTATGAAATGGGGCTCAAACAAGGGCTAAATAGAATCGACTTGGATTGAAATTTACCCAAATCGATCAAATCAATTTCGATTTTGATTTCAAGTTGAGCTCAAAACCTACCCAACCCATGACCGGGTCTAATTATTTTGTTTTTTTTTTGTATAAAGCTCCATGTACAGGGAAGCTTTCACAGGGGCTTTACAAGCCCTTCACTGTAGCAGGGGGCCCCACTTAAAAAACAATAAAAAACTGCAGCTAGCTCCCCTTCATGTGTGTTGTCTAGTAGGGGCCTGTGAAGTACGTGCAGCTCAACTCTTTTTTTTTTTTTTGCCCCCATTATTTCTCGGGAAATCTACAGAATTAATCCTAACCTTCAGCGCTTCTAACAAATTTCCCTCCTAACCATTATAATGTACTTTTCAATCCCCAACATTTAATTCAATTTACATATTTAACCCTTGTTTGGTGGGGATTAAAATCGAAATTTTAATAGATTTTGATAAAAATTAATGAAATGTGTGATTAAAAAATTGTAGTTTCCATAAATATATGGTAAAAATTAATTATTGAAATTAACTTAGATTAAAATCACTACCAAACAAGGGCTTAATCAGTTTAATATAATTTGGTGGATTTAATTTCCTCGATCAAGATATAAAAGCTAGTTTTTCTAAAGATGGCAAAACACTATGCTTAACACCAAATCGAATTTTTTTGTTCCATTTTTAATTTCAAAATTAAGAAGAAAAAGCCCTTTCCTTTTTTACTCACAAATCAAAAATTGGTAGATAGCACGACTATATTATGAAGAAAGTCGTGCAAAATATTTGAAGACGACAAGTTTGCACCTCGTGAATATATGTTTGCTAAGAGTACCAATATTTTATTTTCATATTTAAATATACGGTTTTGCTAGTGATACATCGAAATGTACCTAATGGTGTACACCCCACTCATATGGACGAGGGACCCACTAGAATAATATATCATTTCTTTCACATGGGTCCCACACCCATGTGAGCGGGGTGTACATATTCGGTACACTCCATTATGCACCATTAGACAGTTTCTTAAATAGATGGGGTAATATTATAATTTTCATTTATTTTTCTATTTCCTGGAAAATGCTCATGAAGAAGAAAAATTTGAATGAGGGCCCACTTTTCAGGTTCGACTCAAGTCTGAAAGCATCAGGTCAAACCTTAACTGTACGACTATAGAAGAAGAAGAAATTAAAATCCCATTTAAAATATTGTGCAATCTTTATTCAATACTTTGATCAAAGATACATTTATAATTTTCTTTGAACAAGTAAAATTTACTTTTAGTCGTCTCTCGAAAGTTGACTTTCTTGAAAATCAACTAACTGGGACAATAATACATGACTACATGTCGTGCTAGAATTGTTCGCATATTGGATTTATAACTAATGGTACAACGAATAGATTTTTTAACTTATTTTTCTTCATTTGTTCTCTTTAATGTGATCCTTTTTACTAAGCATGTAATTACTGTTTTGACGAACAAAATTCAATCAATAAGCCAGTACTAAATAAAGTAAAACAGTTTAAATCGAATCAGAATTCCTTTGGTTAACTGACATTGAGAAATACTTTGGTTAACTGACATTAAGAAATAGATCCTCTAATCTTTCGTTACAATGAGATATACATTCACATAGAATTCTCTTGTAACTTAATCTCCACTCAACTGCTAACTTCCATCTATGAATTGACCTTGCCTTTCTACATATCTGTACTTGACTAGGTAGTTTTCTATCATTCATCTCTAAGAAAGCACTAAACTCAATAATACATGCACGGGAGACGTCCCCAAAATCTATCAACGGATTATAATCTTGAATTTTGTGAATGGTGTTCAGCAACAACTCATCTTCTTCGATTGAGCTCGAACAATTCCCGAGCAATGCTCGACAGTTCTTCACTATCCACTCCAATACAGTGACCTCATTTTCTGCTGAAATTTGATGGCCTGAATATGCAATGTGTCCAACTGATCTCCGGTAAGTTACAGGAGTTGCCCACAACCGGATTGTGGCGAGTAGGGCAAAAGATGGCTTCCCGTCTTGGTGAATGTACAGTGATTCTTTCGGCCACGAACAAAGGGAGTTCATGTTGGGTTCTAAAGGAATAAAAGCTTTGTCATTCGGGTTTTCATGCAGAAGAAACCCGTAGTGTTCAAGAAGCTCCAAATTTGTGTATGTACCATAGCTTAGAAGAACCTGTGGAACGAGAAAAGAATTGTGAATTGACATCAGTCCACAGACCACAAATTTCTATGAATTAAAATAAGAACACATGAGAAGGAACAATATGCCACAAATCCCACGTTATATACTATAACGAACAACATATATTTCAAAAATATTGCGTGAACAGAAAATAACTTCTTACAAAGTACATCATTTATATGGATACAAGCTATTATATATTCAGTCTGCATAGTTGATTGTGCCCTAGTCCACTATTATCACGAATCATTTATAAACCCTATTTATGAAGAATGCAGCTTGTGGTATTTGCACGTAATTTTGAGTATTAATGATGCAACCCCCTTATTGCTGGGTCATAAGAACTAAAACTCATTTTACTTAGGAATTGGGCACTACAAATAAATTTGTGTAACAATTACTGTGTGACAATTGTGAAAATATGCAGCTGAAACTGAAACCGACATCTTTCATATTGAAATAAACGTCCAGCACAAAGCTAATGGACTAAGACAAGAAGCAAATATTCATACTATGGTTGATCATCATGGATGCTTTGAGATGGTGTCTGAAGAAGTTAACAACGTAAAACCACAGAAGTGGACGTGTACAGTGAGACAGGACATCTATCCTCATGGAGAGAATTCAAGAAATGAAGCTGTTATAATCCATAAGAGTCGGAACATCCGAAAGAAGATACAATAGCTCGAAACATTCCATTTGGGAAGACAAGAGGCAAAACTCACATGTACTGATAAGACAATCTATAAGTGAATAATGCACTTCAAAAACCTCGGGCGATCACATTCAGAAATCCTCCTACATTTCTGGTTTAAGACAGCATATATTCTAAGGCTGGAAAACACAAATCAAACATCTAAAATGAAGGTCACGCATGTGTTTGTGAGTTTCAGTCCCCAATATGGTTTCAAACATGCAAAACAAAGTAACAAACTCTCATAATTCAGTTTCAGGCATCAAAAATGTGTTAACCCACCTAGTAATTAAAGCTACAGAACCCACGACAAACTAGATCAAACCCAAGAAAACCAAGAATTAATGTTTAGAAAAGCTCGACCCGATAAATTATTGAACCAAATAACCAATATAATCGCAAATAATATCTTGACCCCATGATTACAAAACTTACGAATCTTACTTTGATTGTTGAATGACACAAGAAATTAGTCCTCGATAAGTTTAAAAATTAATTCAATGAAGAACGAGTTGAAAGCAAATAAGCTTTGCAATAATATCGCTCAAATTGTGTGTTTTACAATGAAAAGAATGAGAGTCCTATTTATAGATAACTCATAGAAACCCTAATTAAAATGGAATTTAAATCTAAAGATACCATAAAAGAGTTTTAACTAAAATAGAAGATTACGTGAAATTTCAAAAGTTCGAGTCCAGTTTTGTACTACGCGGCTGCATAGATCTAGTAAATGCAGTTGCATAGGTCATTCCTCATCTTCAGCTGAGTTTTCTATATGGGTACATGCGGCCGCATGTAATTTTGTACTATGCGGTCGCATAAGCCTTCGTTTCAGATCCCTCTTCCGTTGCTTGAACTAAGTTGATCCATCGCTTTTCTTCTCCCATACCCAATATGAAACTTGTCATTTCGCTTATTATGATCAATATTTCATCCACCATAGCTTGAACAAGTAATCGCATGGCTTCTTTAACCTTCTTTACTCGTGATCTAGTGATTGGTTCTTCCTCCACGATTAATGAATCATTTTCCTTGCTAGCTCTTGCACCATGAATCTTCTAGAGTAGGTTTCCCATGAAACAGGGAACCCTTTAAACGTGAAATGTCATCCACATCACATAAACTTCTGATATCAACTCTTTAACATTCAAAATTAAGTTACATGAACAGAGATAAGTTGATTAAGATTATAATTTTGAACTTACTAATATTATCCTCCCATCTCTAAATGGTTCTTGTTTTCTTTCAACCTTTTTTTTCTTTTTTTCTTTTTTGCTATATCAATTATTGGATATCATCCTTTCTGTAGAAGGCTGGGTGCCTACCACTCTTTATCTCAACCGTTTTATATTTACATATCTTATTCCAAATTCAAAGACATTAGACGAGCTAAGAACAGAAGAAAGCATACTTCAAAACTTTCATATCTTTAAGCTCGAATATCTTGAACTGACGTTGTCATATCATTTACTAGATAAAAACTGAAATTGAGGTTATCTTGTTGAATACGATTCAAATTGTTCGAGTTTCTCGTTGTTAGCTGCTTTTCATTAGATTGTAGAATCTGAGCTTTCAATTTTAAACACTCCGATACTTTGGAGCTTATATTTTTACACCCTTCTCGAGGCATGTACTGTGATCATAAATATATTTCACATTGTGCCTATTTATGCGCAGGAAGACAATCTGATTAATTATCAATGTTTGGTAGTTTCTAATGTCTTCAAATAGGAGCTATACTCCTCAAAGTATGATTTTGGCATGGAAATTTAGGAATCTAAATTTCCATCATATTAAGCCCTTGTTTGGGATCCATTAAAAATGCATTTTTGAAGAGTAATATTTTGGAGAACGTATGGCTAAAATATAAAAAAAAAAAGTTTTGGGTTCACGTACAATATTATTATATTGAAAATTCATGTGTAATATTATTATATTGAAGAATGTGTGGTTACAAATAAGAAAGAGAAAAATGTATCTTTGGAGAATGGAGCCCAAACAGGGGCTAATTAAGCTGATTGCTAATCTTAGGAGCCTATACGACATATTTTCAGGACTCTCCCATAGAAAACTTTGTTTCCTCTGAAAAGCAGAGTATTTTCATTCTTTTTCTGGCAGAATCCACACTGGAAAAATGAGTTAAAGCCATCAGTATGCCTCAACTTTCATATAGCATCCACACTAGTACGAAGCCATAATGGGAGACAAAATGAGTTTCCTCATATTTCAATTTGAACACTTACAAACTAATGTTCCAGTCATTGTTCGGACAATGCAGAAGATTGATAATGTGGCTCCACTTACAAACTAATGCTTCAGTCATTGTTCGGACAATGCAGAAGGTTGATAATGTGGTTCCACATTTAGAGCACCAGAATCCACATTCCTTGCATCTTTATCAATTAGAGATTAATTACTGAGGACAAAATATAACCAAAGTAGTAAACGTCATCTTTCCTGTAATCTTACACATGAAAACACAACAGACCACACAATCATCAACTTTATTGTTCATCAGGTGAGTGACTCAGAAAACCTTGGGGTGTAAAAACTAATGGAGTTAAACAACACAATTAGTGCTTGTATAACCATCAGCCTCAAATTGAATTAATCGTGTAAATAACAAACTTTTCAAAAATTTAGAGATGTAAAATATTGATTAACATGAGATTTCCAAATTGATTTAGAATTTGCTCAACAGACATGAATTAAACTTGAAGCAGAAAAGAATTTCATATCTTCTGTTGACAGGACAACACTTTCCGTAAACACAGTTGGCGAAAAGTAAAGACAGAAAGCATTATGAACAATACCTGATCCCCTTTTCTGTAGTTTCTTCTAGCATAGAAGCAATAAGCAGCAATTTCTTCCTCGTAGCAAGCATCAATTAACCTCTGCTCATGGGCATAAAACGGTTCTTCTACTGATTTCCCTGCATTTTGCACTTTTCCAGGGGAGGTATCATGCAAGGGAAACAATTTTTGATGTGGTTTATTTTCTGAATGATATGGTTCTTCTGCAGGCGCAGCATAATTAAAGAAGTCTCCCACAGGGCATAAACACCCTGCACTATCCCATGGTATGTGCATTGTGCGTGAGGATATCTTTGCACACAACGCAATATAAAATATCAGAGGCAAATTTCCAACAAATAATTAGGTAACGAGCAATGCAAGAAACTGAGACTAAAGGCGAGAAGAGTATTGCCCAAATGGCATCTAATAATCTTTGATTTTGTAGTCAAGAATGAAAATATTGAATGAAGAAAGATAAATGTTTTACAAATCTGAATATGCGTGCATAAAACCTCATCTTCGGAACGTGGACAAAAACTTTTAAGATGCAAATGGCCATGAACTTACAGTTGCAGAAGCCCAGAGCCATGCCTTAAAAGTCATGAGTTGAGGCTTGAGATTAAGTTCACCCATAAGTGCAGTAGCTTCTCTCCAGTCCATTTTATCCTTCTCAACTGCTCTTTCAGCAGTCCATATCGCATCATCCATCTATGATCAATTTACACAACAATCACATCATATCTTTCTCATAAGATTTATAACGAACAGTTTAACAATATGAATTTTACAACATTCAGCAGCCAAATCTTTGAATAAAGCCAGAAACTAACCTGTAAAGCTTCTATCTCCAATTGACCAAAACTAGAAAGTTTGTTGTCTGATTGGTTAAACTCATCAAAATAAACTTTGCGATTAAAAAATACCTGACAATCCAAATAGGCTACTAAAGGGTTTTCCATCCAAGAATAGCTAAATACAAAACTAATTTGATTAAAAAAAATTAAGAATTTTAACTTCCTTTCTCATTATCCACTAAATTCACCAAAATTAGGTAATCAAAAACTCAAGTTTTCAACCCCTTGCTTCAATCCAACAAAATAAACTGAAACTTTTAAAATTATGACAAAGAATCGTTACAAAAAACCCATTTAGTAATTTATCAAAGCCAATAAATTGAGAGCATAGAAATTTCTAAAAGAAAAGGTACCTGGTTAGATGATAGTTTTTGGTATTTACATAAAGCAGCCGAGAGTTTCTGATCTTTGCTTCTCAGACTCTCACTCGTCATCAAAGCCTCCTTCGGAACTCTCAAAACTAACTCGCCTTTCATAACATCACGTACCGCCGCTAATCCTCTCCTGCATCATACTATTTACATTCATACAATTACCCACAAACACGTGTATACTTACAGATGTATACAGATCGTAATATGTATATTACCCGCCGGCGTCAGGGAAATGAGAGACGGATAGAGAGTGACGCAGACAAGAAGAAGGTGGAAAGGTGGGAACTTCTGATTTCTTAATAGGAGAGTCCGATACACCGAGAGCAGCCGCCCATTTTAGGAAGGTTTCGAGGTCTGATTCGTCTTGCACTTCCATCTCCAACTCCCTGTAGAGCGTAAGAGGATGTTTGGCTAAGTTTAAAAAGTTTACATTTTAATTAACTTGCTAGTTAAAAAGTATCCCTGTCCTCCTTATGTATCTATCTAATCTAAGAACATTTTCAAAAAATTCTTTATTTATAAAGAGCATTTTTAAATTTAGAGTGTGTTTGATTGACATGAAAAATATTATCTAAAAAAAATATTTTCCATCTTTTATGGAAAATAAAAATCACCTCTACCTAAGGAAAATATTTTCCTTAAAAACAAGAAAAATTAGGCATATTTTCAAAAGTTGGAAAATATTTTACATGGAAAAAAATAACAATCAAACACTCTAAATAGGAATTTGAGTGAAAAACTGATATTTTTCGTGAAAAATAAATGTAATCAAACACACCCTTAGAGTGTAATCTTTTTTACATTCCAACAAACTGTGTATTTGTTTCGTTATTTTTTTTTCAATGAATATTTAATAAATTCTCCACATATTTTATTTAAATGAACGATTAATTAATTCAAATGTAATTTGAAAAATTTAAATTATAGCGTAATGAAATTTGTAATGTATTAAATGCAGTTATTGTAATTTAAAGAATAAGTAGTAGATTTGGCTCTCTGTATTTGGAGAGTCAAACGCACTCTCTAATTTAAAAAATTAAAATAGAGAGTTTTTTTAAGTTCATTTTAATCATTAACTCTTCGAGATAGATAATATTTTATATTTAAAGAGTTTCCTAAAAATACTCTAATCTAATTATGAGTCTGTTTGGGAGTGATTTTGAAAATTGATTTTTTGACCGTTAGGAAAAAAGTAGAGTCTACCTATGAGAAAAGAAGTCAAATATGACGATTAAAATAGAAAAATAACGATCAAAAAATCAATTTCTTGGATAAAAAATCGAGCCCAAACATGCCCTATATCCCTATAACACAAGAGAGCCACTTTGTGTGGCACTATTCATAGGAACAGTGCCCAATTTTTTTACCTTTTTTTTTTTTTTTTTTTAACACAAGCTAACATTTTAAAACGTTATTTCATTAAATTGATTCAAAAACGACGTCGTTTTACGTATACTATTTTGAAATTAAATGCCCTGTCAATCACATGCCATATACCTTTTCTGCACATTAATAGCAGAGCTTTCTTACACGCCACTGTCTTATGCGTCATCTCCTTTTTGCTTTCCTTTTCTCTTTCTTCAGCTTTCCCATTCTATCGTCTTCCTCTCACTTTTCCTTTCTCTTGCTCGGCTCTTTCTCTTTATACTTACTCTATCGCTCCTTTTCTCTCCAAGGTTCTTCAAAAATCTAGGTTCTACTTACAAAGTGTGCTTTCGCTTCTGCCGTTGATTCCATTTCCGATCGCGGTGTAATGGGTATCGATCAGCTGCAGTGCTTCCTCGTCGTGGTCCATAAAGAGGAGAATGTCACGGTTGCTGATGCCCAGACTATCATGAATAGCCGGGACGAGTTGAGGCACCACTACATATTTCTTCGCCAGAGACTCAATCTTGAGGGATTTTTTAAGTATTTGTTTGGGGATTCTGCCGAAACATACTCTCTCCGGTAAATTGTTTTACAATATTGTGTATATAAGGGATTCTTGATCCATTCTTCATGATAATATTTGTGTGTTTAATAAATATTCTTTATCAGATTCATGATAATCTTGTATGGAAATGGAATTTGAGTTCTTTTCTTTGTCCTTTCTTCTGTGTCATTTTACAAATTATTTGAGTGTTTCAAAATAAACTGATTAATAATTTTTTTCTTAATATTCAGAAATATCTTTATTGCTCACAGAGTTATTTACAGAAATGTTTGCCTTTGGATTTATGTTACAAAAACTTGAGAATAGTGAATGATTATTAGGAGGGAAAGATTAACTAATGTGGTTTAGAAGTCTTTATGTATGCCTGATTGGAATATTTTCTATATTTTATGGGTTAATTCTTAAATTCAATTTTCATTGTTACCTGATAATTTTATTATACACCCTCTGCAAAAGAAATTGTTTACCTCTAAAGATGGGTAATCTAAAGAATTATTTGTCTGATCCAAAATTTCTTGCTCAATCCTGTTCTATTGTGTTATGACATTTTCAGCTCCAGATGATGCTGATGACTCATGCTCCATTTCAGCCCAAGAGCATCAAGGGAATGATACAGCTTGGGTGTGGCATGCTGTAGATTTTGCAGATGGAGAGTTACAGTAGGAGACTTTTGCTATTCTCTTTGTCTTTATGGAAAGTCAGTTACTACTTTTATATACAATGTGCTATATCTCGAAGTAAGCAATGTCCCAAAGGTTTTAGGGGTAAAGCTTCAAGTCGTAGTTGTAATTCTTCTGGATTAAAACATGTATCAGCAAAAGGTGCGAGGTAAGGGCTCTTTTCAAGGTATCTGGCTTATTCTCTTTGCTGTTTTGTAATTTGTGAATGACCATTTTGTCTCTATGCTAACTGATGTCTTGAATCTTTATTTGAAATATATCAAGGTAGAGGCAGAGTCATTGCTGCATTTAGCAGCCAAGTACTACCTTCTCTTGCCCCCTCTGGGTCGACCATTGCTGCAGCCTTGTGTCCTGATGGGAGGACACTTGATTCTATCCATTAAGTCTATCTCTCTCTATTTTTCATCCACAGAAGCTAATTCCGTTAGTTGGATATTGATTTGTTGATTTCGGTTGGATGTTCAAAAAGTTTACTCTCTAGATGTACACCTCTGCGATATTTTTGTACTTGTTTGTATTGCTTTTTAGAAATGAAGAATGCACTTTTAGTTGGATCATTAACCAAACACGATAAGTTTGTGAGGTGAAACTTTTGCTGAGAACAGTGAAGAGACTGGTAGTAGGTGCACTTGATAATACTCATTGGTTGTACTATTTGGTCATTTTTGGGTCTCTTTTAATTCTTCTTGATCAATTGTAGGAGTCATAAGGCGAAGGCTGTGGAGATACGAAGGATTTGAAAGTGTTTTCAAGTTTTAATGAAGACCTACTTAAGGAATAACTATACTCTTGACCTTGCAAAATTTTAGGCAATCTGCATTAATTAATTGAGAACATTGAAGAGACTGGTAGTAGGTGCACTTGATAGTACTCATTGGTTGTACTACTTGGTCATTTTTGGGTCTCTTTTAATTCTTCTCGATCAATTGTAGGAGTCATAAGGCGAAGGCTGTGGAGATACGAAGGATTTGAAAGTGTTTTCAAGTTTTAATGAAGACCTACTTAAGGAATAACTATACTCCTGACCTTGCAAAATTTTAGGCAATCTGCATTAATTAAAAGTATGGCTGATATTTTCTTTGAACTTCATATTTTGATAGTGAGAGGATTTTCTTAGTAAATTATTACCAACAGAGAATTTTGGTTCAAGTTGTTCATTGTTAATTTTACACTCAACATGGAGCAAAAATTTTATGGTAATGGCCTTTTGTTTGAGATGAGTAGGACATTTACATTAACTGGTTATTTCCATAGATATTATGGTATTCAATGGAGAAAAGCTAGCTTGTGTATCCACGTGCTTTTTGGTGATTTAAAAATAATTGCATTTGATTTGTTGTTGTCCTAACTTTGCATAGTAATTCATATCTCGAATGTTAAATTTCAAAGCTATTTTAAACTGTAAATAGATTTATTTTATTTGATTATTGATGGATAGGCTATAGGTGAAGTAAAAGTATTGAAGCAGCAAACAAGCGCACAAAGAAGGGTAAACATGTGAAAGATCCTAACAAGCTGGAGATGCCTGCCAGTGTTTTCCTTGTTTCATGTATCAACTCCCCTCTTATTCTCTGTGCGAGTGTATGGATACATTATTTGCATTTGTTTTTATTGTTATTATTATTATTATTATTGAAGGGAATTCAACAAAACCTACAAAGAGAAGCGCCCTAACAACAAATCTATGGCCGTTGTAAGTCATCTATGTACTTTACGATCCAAAAAATCTTTAAAGTCATTTCAAAATCTACAAATGTTCTCGAATTTATATGTATTTATACCCTTTTTGTAATAAAACCATAATTCTCATTTTTAAATTTAAAATTTATTCAGGTAGCAAAAGCTGTAGGAGGCGAGTGGAAATAACTTTTAGCTGCTGTGAGCATTAAACATTTTATTATTTTCTCAATTGTAAATTTATTTATGTACTTGTTCTAAATTTCTGTTTATTAATTTCAGGGAAAGCTCCTTATATAGCAAAGGCAGAGAAAAGGAAGGTCGATTGTGAAAGGAAATTTGAGCTTATGACAAAAACTGGTGGCCTTTTTTTTTTTTTTTTTTTTTTTCTCTAATTAGATGTACTAATTGCATGTAAACATCCATGCTTTGTTGAATTCAAGGAAGCATGGGTAGCGAAGGTATGAACCTGGAAATTTCTACTTACTGCTGCAATTTGATTATTTCCTCTTATTCAGTAAAATATTGTTAGCAATTTTCCCCAACTGAGCTCTTCATTGCAAAATGTTAATGTAGGACTGTTACATTTGTATAAATATTGGGTACTATAAGGGTGGCAACATATAAATATTGCCGAATGAAATTTTCAACAATGTTATCATGTTATTGGTTAGATTTATTATTTCATCTCGAAAATGACTAACGTCACTCCATCGTTATTATGTAGCCAACTACACTATGGCACGTAAATATGGAAGAATGGGTATGGCTACTATTCATAAGCTGGATGGCCATGTAAGCCTAGACACTTTGGAATGAGCTGCGATAGCCGAGCTGTGTGTAAGTGGATTCGTGTAAAAGTTTGATTTTCCTTTTGTTTGTGTGGTTAACTTCTCTCTTTTCATTCATTTTCCTCATTTTCACACGCAATCTCGATATCTCTCTTCATACTTTCATACCTGTTTTCATTTTCTCTGTAGCTGTTCTTTCTGTCACCAAAATCACTGTCTTGTAATTGTCTCTTTTCTTGCAATATTGGTACGTTGATAGATACTATTTGTGGTGAACCTTAAATCTTTATTCTTCTTCATTTCTTCTACTGTCCAAAATTGTCTCTTCTCTTGCACTATTGGTACGTTGACGATGTTGTTTTTCTTCTTTATCATATTTGAAAATCCAAATATGCTTATTGAATGTTGATTTGGCTGATCCGATCTATGTGTATCAACTAAAGATCAGCTCAGGATAGAAAGATATGTTGAGACCGATTGACCAATGATGCAGGAATTGAGATTTAATGTATACAACTTGTTGAAATTGAAGTAATTAACAAGATCACAAAAATCCACGAACAAGATTAAAGTAAAGAAATAAAAGAACTGGCAGAGGAACGATGTTATTTTATTCCATCAATGAAATGAGAGAATTACAATAATAATGGCTTTTTTAAAATTGATAAAGGAGCCACATATTTATAGTATAAAATCTAGCCCTAAAAGAGTCCCAAAAAAACTAAGAAATCTAATGCAATTTAGACTCCTATTTGAGTCACACTTTTAACAATCTCCACCTTGACTCAAATTCCGGTGTAACGAATGAAGTTTCAAAATTTCTCCACCTTGAGAAATAATTCGTCTGCATCAGAATGAACTGATCAATCTCCTCAACGAAATAACCAAACTCTTCACAATAACATTTTCCTCCGCCTGGCGTCCACAAGCAACACTAGAACCCAAACCCGGGTTCCCAAAATTCCTCTTGGAATTAACAATCATTGAACAGGGTCGAAGCACACCCTGTAGCAGAAATCACACCAAATGCACAATCAGAAGGTCCCTTGTCAATATTGTCACCTTCAATGATTTCGAAAGTATTACAGACATCTCCAAAAATGTACCTACGCTCCATGAGTCCATTGGCATTACAAGAACACCGTGTACTCACTAAAATTGGTGGCAAAGCGGAATCACCAACACTCTCATGAGCAAAGTTCTTAACTGACCTAGAGCCAAACCCAAGAGATACTGTACCAAATTGAATGTCCACCACGGTACTGAACTTGTCCAAATGTCTCTGAACTGGTTCTGCGCTCCCCTGCAAAATGTACAGCTGGGATTTCCTCCGTCCCTCTAGTACAACCCAAACACCCCTTCGAACCTTCAGGACTCCACGTCCACTGGAAAATTTGTACCTTTTTTCATCCAAGGTACTCAGTGATATGAGATTCTTTGTCAAGTCTGGAACATGACGAACCTGATTAAGTGTCCTCATTGTTCCATCCTGTAGCCTCAATCTAACTTGATCGATTCCTGCAACCCGGCAAGATTAGTTGTTTCCCATGACAACTCCCCCTTGCTTCACCGTCTCATATGTTTGAAACAAAGCCATATTGGGACACATATGATATGAACAAGCAGAATCTAGAATCCACTCCTCAGATTTGGATTCCCCGTCAGATACAGCCAACATCACATCTCCATCATCACAAAAATTTTCAGCAATATTAGTCTCGTTCGAATTACCTGATTGCCTATGTCAATCACCTTTACCTTGCAACTTGTCGCAATCTTTCTTGATGTGTCCTCTCCTCTTACAGTAATAACAATACACATTGCTGTACTTCACATTCGATCTACCCCTCCGTCGATCACCATGAGTAACAAGAGCATCCCCACTCCTAGATGTAGGATCTCCAACCAACAACTCCATCTTCTCTTTTGAGAACAGGACATCGTATACCTCCTCAATGGATAACGTGTCACGACTATATAGAATATTATCACGAAATGACGAAAAAGAATTGGGTAGCGTACACAACAGGACCAAGGCTAGATCCTCTTCATCATATTTTATCTCCAACGTCTTCAAATCTGCAATGATCTCCTTGAACACAGTAAGGTGGTCCTGCAGTAACCCTCCTTCCGCCATGCGATGAGAATACAACCTCTGCTTTAGAGTCAGTTTGCTCGTCAAACTCTTTGTCATGCACAACTGCTCCAACTTGAGCCACAAAGCAGCCGCTGTCTTCTCCTTCAAAATATCTTGCAGCAAATTATTGGATAAATGAAGTTGGATTTGCGCTAAAGCCTTCCGATCTTTCCGTTGTTTCTCCTCTATAGACAAGCTTGCTGGCATCCTATCAAATCTCAGCAAAGCATCATTAAGATCCATCTGTGTCAACACAGCTCCCACCTTTACTTGCCACAGCGAAAATCTTGTACTGCGATCCAATAGCGGAATTTCATACTTCAACGAATTCATCTCTAAAAAATCTCAATCAAATCACGAAGAACTTGCAACCTACAACACCCAAAATTGAAAAACTACCGAACGTGCAAGGGGCAAAATAGTCCAGAACCACAATTTTGCCCAAAACTGAATTTGGACACCACCACAAGGTCCGTCTTGTCGTCCGGAGAAAACTGCCTGAAGTCATATGGGTTTTGATAATCAATAGATTCAAGGAAATGGGTATTTGATAAAATTTAAAGTTTTGATGTACGGGTCTTTGATTTTGTTATTTGATCCTGACATGTTTGTTGCTAAAATCTCGAAAACTTGATATCTTGCTTCTATACATATAAAGATTGAATTTCTCTTACAAGAATTATGTTCTATCTATGCATAATCGAAATATTGCAAATTTTGGTAATTAATTAATCAATCTTATTGAATATCATGTTATTTGTTTCCTATTATATGAGAATCCGCAAAAGTACCGTTTTATTACCCGTGTTTTCCTTTTCTTTGGTGTAAATAACTTGATAAATATTGCGTGTGGACTTGCTCATGCGATTTAATTGGTTCTTATATTTTCCTCTGGAATGTGTGATAATGTTTCTTTGAAGAGGATTGAAGGGTTGAACTTTTGATAATTCTTTATAATGAAGAATCACGAGTATTGGCTAATCTTGCCTTAGCAAGTATGACACACACAAGTATGCTCATCAATACTATTGGTGTTTCCATTTGATTCAATGACTATAAAATATGTGTATATATATTTTTTCTCTACATATTAAGGCTGACTTTTGCTAGTTAAATAAATTTAAATAATTGTTTCTCAAACCCAGTGTATTTCAAAACAACTTAGTTTTATTCCTCTTTTTAACTTTGTGCTTTTCCTTTTGCTTGATATACATTTCTCATAGCTACTACCGAATTGTGCAAAAATGCTACAATACGAAATTATTTATGTTCATTCATTTTACTCAAAATAGTGTTATACATGCTTCGCATGGAACATTTTAATGAATAAATAAAGGACTTTAATCATTCGAAGCTGCTCGTACAATAATGAATGCTAAAAATTATAATAACTCAATGTAAAGGTTGATGACCAACTGACCAACTTGCTATAGAAGTCATGCACCGATGAGGAATCATGCAATTTACCCTATTATAGCGGTTTCAGAGAGAATTGGAATGGGGGCTATAGCCTATATGCGCTATTTCTCATGAATGAGTAATTCTTGGAATATCAAGAATGCCATGTTGTCACTTCATGTTTTCAGCTTATTTTATGGTTTTAAAAGTAAAATTAAATTATTAAACAATTAACAAATAACAGAATTAAATAAAAATATAATGGACTAGAGGATCAAGAAAATGAAAAATGAAACTAGATTTAATAACTATTGTTTGTTAAGAGTTTAAAAAAAAAAAAAAAAGTTACATAGTACCAATTGTGCTAAAGTACCAGTTTAAATAGTTACATTTTATATGTTCAATTAAGTCCCTGTTTGAGCTCCATTTTTACTTCATTAAAATGAAAAATATGATCGTTATCCATCACATCAAGTCAAAATTTTTGAATTTCTATCTCTGATGTGGGGCCCATAACGGCTCTATTTCTCATTCTTATTTTCATTATAATGTGGTTCAAACGGGCTCTAAATGAGTTACG